AAGGGGGGAGTTGAAGAGCTGTCCTTCATGGTTCGCTTCTGGCAGGCGGGGGACAACACAAAAAAGGTTGATCTGTGGACGAGTAAACTGGGCATCAACACAGAGCTCATAGCCTCTGGAGGCCATGGAAAGCCTAGCCACCAAGCGAGCAGGACAGTTACCGACTACAGCATGCAGGCGGGACCCAAGAGGGAGTATCACTCAGCAGGCTCCTACAGAGGTCCCAGCTGAAGACCACCAGGGGACACAGATCCACTCAAGAGAGGAGTCTCCAAGATACCCAAACCCAGATCCCGGGTCCTCAGAACTGAATCTCCTTCCGAGCCTGCTGGAATAGGTAGCTCCTCCTTGGCTTAGCATGGCACAGCTGGCAAGCAGGTGGGTCCTTCTACACAGCCATCTCAGCTGGGGATGCAGATTAGCAAGGGGGCACAGAGAGTGGTTAGGGAAGAGAACAAACAGGTAAAAGACCATGGAGGCAGAAAGCTGGAGGAAATGCCAAGGATGAGAAGGTTGTAAACATTCTCAAGAAAACACACACAGAGCAGAACCCCAGCTACATAACCCTCATTTGCCACCAGCTTCTAGCCCTTCCCCCTTTGTTTTCTTTTTCCTTTTTTTTTTTAATAATCTGTTTTAAGGACTTTGGAATTTGCCAAAGGATAATGATAAGACAACCTCCTCACACCTGGCAGTCTTACCACAAGTAAAATCAATCAAAACATCAGCAGGATAGGCCTAACAGCACCTAACGGGGCCACGATGATGCCCATAGGACAAGGCAGCTCCTAAAAAGGGGTGCAGAAGCACTTCCAGTGGGGTCACAGGGAGGGCTGCCCCATGTGCACGTCACCTACCGTCACAGTTACACTGGGTGCGCCACAAGGTGTTCTCAAGACCTTTTTCTGCGTGAGACTTGTTACTCCGTTCTTCCCACACGATGGAAACCTGTGCCCGGGCACAAGAACCAGATTATAAGCAGAAAATGGGTGCTCTATTTCTTAGGACTCCTGAAGTTACACTGCGTGCAGTGGCTAACAAGTTCACGGCCAGGAGAGCCAGCCTGGACTTCCTTGGCTCTCTGCAGACGAGCACCAGACAAGCATGGTGTGCCCAGCAAGTAGGATGGAAACAGGCTGGCTAGCACTTGCACGGCTGGCCTTTTACCTGCCATCGCATCACGCACATTGTGACCTTTGGCTGAAAAACCTAGCTATCATCCTGTCAGTCAGGAGACCACCAATAGATGGCTCACGAGGAGCAATGAAGTCCCTAGTTTGGGCAAACGTGAAAGTGCCCAGGACAGTGCCTGCAGCAGAGGTAGCCCGAGAGGAATGCTCAGAGAACGACCAACAAAAACCAGTGTTGGGCTCAGGAACAAAAAGTCACTGTGACTCAAACAAAATTGAGGCGTGAACCATTCACCCAGGGGATAAAAAAGTACCTAGTTCATGGGGCTGGCAGGTGGTGTGGTGGTTAAGGGCACTGGGTTCCCATATGGCCAACTGAGGTTCAAGTCCCAGACCAGGTGGCTTGCTTTCTCGCTTTCCCTTTCTCTCTCTCAGTCTGGTCAAATTAAAAAATAATAAGTGGAATTAAATAATTATTTAAAAAAGTACCTAGTTCCCAAGATAGAAATTCTACCTGCTATCCTTTACGCACCTAAGGATAGCAGGTTTTTTCAATCCACGTGTAGTTTACTTTACAGCTATCTTCCACAGCTAGTCCCAACACCAGATTGGCAAAGACAGGAAAAGTTTCATCTGTACCAAAATCTGGCAGCAGTTCATTCAAGAATTCCAGGATAGGAAGGAGCTTGGAATGACTGATCCATCCCACTGCCCCTTGACAGCATCAAAATATCACCTTGCCCTGCCCACAAATTCTTAGAGAAAATAATGCAACATAGAAATGCAAAGTAAAAACATTTTAAGACTTTAGTATGCATTTTACTGTATGTAACATTGTACTTTAACAAAATGATTTATTGAGCCCCAGTAGTCATTTATCCAAGGAATATCAAAGCTGAGAAGACAGGTTTCCCCTCCTCACTTATAATATTTTTGTTTACTTAAAGCCAACAGTTTCAGGAAACCTCTTCCTTGGTGAGTTTCCCATCAGGCCACCTGGTTTCCACCTACAGAGCTAACTGTGCACCCCCCTCCTACACTGTTACTTATTTACACCTGGGTGCTTTGCAAAAAGGCTCTGAGCCTAGTACTCCGCTGAGAGGACAGGGTGGCCCTGTTACTAGGAAGCTGTGGCACCTGGGGAGGGAGGGGGAGGGAGGCAGAGCTGGGACTGTATATGTGCACTTTTTTCATCCTTCCCTTCAAAAACGATTTTTAAATGTTTTGGTCTAGACTTTTAGGACACAGAACAGGGAAACTGAAAAACGAAGCCTCCGGTGAGCCTGGCCTGGGGGCCCCTGACCACCTTCCCTGCCCTATGGCGGAGGCACCCCCGACGCTGGCAGTACCTGGGGGAGCCGCCTGAGGATGAGGCAGACATGGCTAGGCATCAAAGCCGCAAAGGTGGGCAATTGGGTCAGCAGGCTCTGCTCAGGGGACCCAGAGGGGCTTGTCAATGAGAATCTCAGGGGCCTGGCATCAAACGTCCCGAGGGGAGGAGGGTGGAGGCTTTGGGGGTGGCAGTTGGATGAAAACTTGGGAGGCGCTCCTCTACTGTCCAAGTCGCACAGCAACTGTCCTGCCAAAGTGGGGGGAGACAGGAGAGGCTGAGCGACCTGCAGGTGGCTAGTGGGCCGCGGTAGGCGGGTGGGAGGCGTGGCGGGAACGCCCCAGCCCGGGAAAAGACCACCTCGCCCAGACCCCACTCGGGAGGGAAGGCAGGTGGCTGCCAGGGCGAAAACCTGAGATGCTGGCTGGCGTAAGTGGAGGGCGGGTGAGAACCGCTAGGCCCCAAATGGGCCCCAAGGGGCCCGAACCCGCGCAGGGAGCTGGAGGGATATTCGGGGCGGGGCCAAGGCAACAGTCTCCTAGGAGAAGGGGCGTTCCCCGCAGAACAGAAACCCGAAAGGACCAATAGTATTTGAAGGAGGGAGGAGCGGAGGCTGCAGGGGACTCGGGGCGCTCCGCCGGAGTGGGTACCCCGGGGCGGAAGGAGGTCCCGGGGCAGTGGGCACGGGCTGGGGCTTAACATCCGAGTTAGAGAGGGTCAGACGCCAGATGGCCGGCAGCGGGCGAGAACCTCGGGAGGGCCCTGGGCGGCCAGGGGACAGCGCTGCCTGCGAGGAGCGGGCGACAAACTGCTGTGCGAGGCCCGCGGGGCAGCGCCGGGGCGAAGCCCGCACACCGGCAGGAGCGCGGGGCCGGCCCCGGCGCTGGAGAAAGGGACGACCACCCACCAGCAGGCAGGAGGGGACCGGCTTCTGCCCATAGAGAGGAGGGCGAAGCCCTGCCCGGGGCAGCAGAGCAGGGAGCAGAGCCCGGCGGGTGAGCGGCGGAGGGAGGCGGCAGGCCCGCCCGTTAGCGGGAGGAGAAGCCCGTGCCGGTGGGCGGGGCGGACGCCAGATTCTGACA